TAACTGTGACCACTGAAATAAATTTACCATCAGTTGTTCTTAGTCAATCGAGATTTATGTAACAATTATGGATGCTTACAGAAATCCTAGTACTTACTGCAACAAATTGTCTAAGATCCTTTGGTTTTTCTGTCCAATTTCTTGAACAGTTTCTTTGTCATCTGCTTCTGCTAACTCTTCATTGACTTCCATAATTTCCATCAGGAATTCAGGATCCATGTCTATCTAGAAAGAATAATAATAATTTGGTTTACAAAGATAAAACTTTGAACCTTAAGTTGGTGTTCTCATTCACCACAGTATTATCTTTTTTGGCTATTGGCCACACAGATGAGATTGATAGCGCCGATCGACAGTTCTCCCATTTGCGTCTGGCTCGTTTGGTAGTTTGCAGAAAACATTTGGCACCTAAAAACTTTTAATTTGTTATTTCAAAAACCTTTAAAAAGTAAAGGTTTAACCTCATATTACGTGCCAGTGCCATAAAGTTTAACCATGTTACTGCTACTAGAGGAGTTAAATAATCTCCGTCCAATAAGCCAATTGGGAGTGGTGAGTTATGGTGCCAAATGTTGTTAGGTCCACAATGTGTCATGGCAAAAATGGATGCCAAGTGTGCTTAAAGGGGAAAGAGGAATTGATGTTTGAGACTGCATTATTCTTTTTTGAGTAATTTAGATGAAATGGGAATATGGCACAACTATTAGTATCATTAATATCTTTCTTTTATAATCATATTTAATGTCAAAACTCCTGCAGTAACCATTGTTACCATCATTGTCAAAACAATTACACTTATATGCCTATTAAAAACATTTGTTCCACATGTATATTAAATTGGACAACAAACTTTCCTTGGGGATAAAAAAAAAACTATATTTACAAACTGTCAAAAATCCACAATTAGTATGGTTTATTCCTCATTTACTGTTTTATTCTTTAGTAACTAGGTATGAAACTCCTTTTATAAAATTTATTGTGAATAAAATAAAATAAAAAATAATGCAAATGCGAAAGCTCTTAGAACTGGACCATTCTTTGCAAAAACCAAAACAAAAAACCAAAATCATAATTCACAATCCCCATCCATAAAAAGTGATATTCTGATGCAAGTATAGTTACCTGTCCTTCATGCAATGGTTGACCAGCAAGTTCAAGCAAATACAAAGCACGTTCAACTGGATGTAACAAACATCGATATGCCTTGTTAATTTGTGAAGAATGATCAGCTGCATACTGCTGTTCTCTCTGAAAAATAAAAATAAAAATTAAGATATGCTATCTATAATTAATAATATAATAATACTATCATATCTATATAGACACAATATATAGTACAAAAAAATTATCTCTATGGGTTATTATATGAGACACAGAACAGGACACACTGTTTCTTTTACAGTCTCTATCATGCATATTTCTAGATACTAGAAACAAAACATAACTACAATTCCATGTCACAATCAAGTGAAAATGTTTTATGCCATCACTTTATTTAGTATTAGATCAGTACAAGAAAATCATATATAAATTTACTGTACTATGTTCTGAGGTTATATATCATCCCATTCCTAACAGAATTTATCATTCACAGCTTCAATTTGTATCTAACATGCAAATCAGAATGGAAATAGTTTTTTAAAATGCCCTGTGATGATAATTTTAGAAGAGGTGAGTATCTGTAAAATGAAGATGATTTACGATATGACAGGAAATGTAAATAAAACAACTTAAAGGATAATGGTTAATGGTTGAAACAAATACATGTGCTAGACATCTAAGGTCATATAGCACTATGGTAAAGTATTGTGATGAAAACTGTGAGTGAGTTAACAATTACGATAAAGAGTGTTAAATGTTAAATATTATAGAATGATACAGGATAATATGATAGGGAAAAGGGTAAAGAGGAAGTGCAAATACAGTAAATCGTAGATTAATAAAGAAAAGGGTTAAGGGTATAGGGCGACTGGATGAAATGGGGTGTATCTGTTGCTTGGGAAGCTATAGGAACATTGCTTTAAGGAAAAACTTATAAAAGAGCTACTATGAAACAGTCAAGGGGATGAGAGAAATGGAATCCAGAAAAGGACACTGTTGCGAAAGAAGGGATTCACATGAGTATCCAGGCGGGAGAGGTCAGGATAATGGAGAACGAAAAGGGAGTGGTGTACATGGAGAAGAAGATGGGGTGTATTGGGAATGTTTAATATTTAATGTTTGAAACAAATAAAGACAAGACATCAAAGGTCATACAGCACTATGGGAAACTATTGTGTTGGAAGGGGTAAAGAGGAGTTAAAGATTAGGAAAAAATGTGTTAGATGTCATTAGAGAGTGTTATTGGATAGTACTGTAGTGAAAAGGGAAAAAGGGGAGTAAGTGAACTAGAGCAGACATAAGTAGAAAGGAGAGGGTTAAGAAGGTAGGGCGATTGAGTGAATTATAGTGTATCTGTCACTGGGGAAGGTATAGGAACAATGTTCAAGGAAAATAGAGATGGCTGTTGGAAAAGTAGAAGAATCCGGGGAGAGGGGGAGGTGTTAGATGTCAAAGATTAGAGCGTGTTATAAGAAAGTATGGTAATGAAAAAGGGAAAAGAGGGAAGTAAATAAAGTAGAGCAGGGCTTGCTAAAATGGGAAAGGTTAAAGGGGTAAAGCGACTAAGTGAATTGCATTGTATCTGTGACTGGGGAAATAATAGGGACATTGTTCAAGGAAAACAGAGGTGGCTGTTGGAGAAGTAGGAGAAGAATCTAGGGGATGAGAAAGGGGGACTGGGGAAGATGGTGAAGTATCAGGAAGAATGTCTGGAGGGGAGGGGTCTGGAGAAGGACACTATAGTGATAGAGGGGATTTGTGTGAGTATTCAAGTGGGAGCGGTACAGAGGGTAGGGTATGTTGGGAGGGTGTAGGAGGAAGGGAAGTGGAGGGAACTTGAGGAGGGGGAGGGATATCTACAAATACTTTAAATGTAGGAGTAGGAACAGAGAGCAATTGAAAGGTTGGGTGAGGGAGCAGAGTGTTCCCTTGGGTCATCTTTAGGAAGTTTTGGATATCTTCAAGGGTTTCTGGAGGGGAGTTGGGTCAAGAGGACTGAGAAACAAAGGTTCTCTTAAGAGGAGCAGAAGAGAAGATAGATATCTGAGGAGCAGAAGAAGAGGAGATAGACATCTGAGGAGCAGAAGAAGAGGAGGGTGGAATGTTTAGGTTGCCTGGTGCGACAAATAAAGTGAGGAGGGGTAGGTATCAGGGAAGTGGTAGAGATTGGAGTATCTGGATTTAGACTGAAAAACAAATTTGACTGGGGGATAGGGTAAGTAGATGTAGGATGGTTTAGGGTATAGGGAAGAGATAATGGGGGAGATGCAGACACATCTTGTGCAGATATTGGGAGAGCAGAGAGAAGGACTATTTTGGAATAAGTTGAGAGAAAAACCTTGTCATTGAGCTTCTTGTCTGTCTAATACAAAATTGTCACTAAATCCACTAATCTGATAATTCTTAACTCTATATACTACTTACTTTGTAATACATATTTATACCTGAAACTGAAATTATGTCCTACTTGCTTTACAAAACACCACAAAAGTCAAAATGTAATCTTTCCTAGATTGGAAACATTTTGAACAAATAGCGATGTAACCTCTTTTATTATGTATAAAAGCTAAGACAAATCCAATGATACAGGAAATATATGATAATCTGTGAAATGAGAATAATGCGAGTTAAGGTTCAATAGGGTTGAGTCATAAATAAATTTAATTTGATTTTAGCTATATGAAAGGTAGTTATATAGATAATGTTCAGAATAGTATTGCACACTGAGAAAAAATAAAGTAACAGCCATAAAAAAGCACATGAAACACCCTCAAGGCCCCATTCCTGCTCACTAGGACCAGTGGCGCGTGTATTAAAGAAAATCTAATGTTATAAAAATATATAAAAAAAGACACAAATAACAGAATGTTAAGTATTGTTTTTGTTATTGCACAAAGTTTATGACTACCTAGAGAGTCTGAGCAAGGAAAACAGTCTATTACCATCATGATACTGCAAATCAATTTAAAAATATAGACCTTGGAAAGTGACAAAATAAAAAACACTCATGCAAAAAAAAGTGACAACATTGCAAAGAGGAAGCAAAGGGTCTTGAAACTGCACAGAAGTATTTGTGTGAGTTGAGTCTACAAGCCAAACACCTATGAAAGGTGCCACGCAAATTAGCCTAATGCTTGGATTTTAGGCTATGTGCGGGCAAAAAGGCACCCGGACCCAATGAGTTAAAGTATGTTAAGCTATGCTAATACAGCTAAGTCTATGAATATGGTTTGTATACTTTAGTGGTAACTTGTTGCCCCATAAGGAATCATTTCAAGCTCTATTTTGACAAGTTTACCGTTAATGGGACCTAAAATCAGACCATTAATAGTCCACCATAAATACTAGAAAGTAATCAATGAGGCTGTCATAAATCTCTATACACTCTACACATTTTACAATGTTTATATAAAAAAAAAAAATTAATAATAATAATAATAGTAATGATAATGACAATAATGTTGGCCTATGTTATATGATGTATAACTGTGACCTGAAGATTCTATAGGTTGCCACCTCACCATGTGTCGTTTTTAATTGCGGTCCTATTCACTTGTGGCATCAGAGAGCCTCACACTTCCAAACACTTGATTAGCACTCCAGTGCCTTAGCTCATAGAGCCACTTAGCATACACATATATAAATTTTATATAATGCCTTTATCTATTTATCTATCTCTCTATCTATATATGAATAAACAAATAAATAAGGAAATAAACAAATATGCATATATTTCTTGTTATATATTCTATTATTCCTAATACTTGTAACTTAATTGCCATGTACTAACCTGAACAAGTATGGTTTTAATGGGGCTATTGGAGGCTAGTAAAAGTTTCCTATTCAGCAGTAAGACCATACAGAAGAGCAAGCAAATAGATAGCAGTTCTTGTTTACTATGTAGTTGCCTCACAAACCTGAGTAATTCTTTACAGTACAGACACACTCGCCAGAGACTATGTCTCCAACCCCACATCAACTCCCCTGGAAACATTAGCTTCACCTCAATATGCACAGAAAGATAAAGCTGAACCTTATGTGCCAAGTGGACTTGAGCTGTGAGCAGCGCTTTCCCGTAATCTTTTTACTTGATTTGTAGTGTTAACGTTCTTATATGCAGATTATTGCTTGTACCAATAACTACTACTTTTTGTCCTCTACAGGCATATCATCATCAATTTATCCTAGCTTCCATACTGTAAAGATTAACCCAAATCTTTAACATCATATACACCAAAATAATACATCATTACCCATTCTACATTTTTTTTTTTAAAGTGACAATAATAGATTCTTTGGAAACAAAAACACTAACACAAACAAACAAGTTATTTCACACTGAAATATGAAATTCAACGTGAAAAATATTAATTTCTGTTAATCCTAATATGTGTGCTAATAGAATACTCTATCATTAGATTCAATGACCATATGAATCTTGTTCGTCCAGACAACTTGTCCAGGACCAGCAGGACAACCGGATGAAATGTAAGCATTCACATTTTTATCATACCGGTGTCTTTATTTTACATGCTGCATGGGTTTTGTAACTTCTTTGATGCATATGTAACTTATCTGCAACTGACAAACACAAAAATATCCTTTGATAACACCAATAAAGGGCCATAAAATTACCCATCAATATCTTGTGGTTACCTGCAACTGTCAATGCTTACATACAAAAGCTATTGTGACGTCATCTTGTCCTGCTCGCCCACCTTCACAGGAGGACCAGTTGGGCGAGATGGACTTGTCCGGGACAGAGAGTAGAGGTTCTGAATGGTCAAAACATCTCATCCAACTGGTCTGAAAGAGCAGGACAAGCAGTCCCAAACACAGTCCCCTCAGTGGCAAGTTTGTCTACAGCCGTCAAGAAGTAATGGCCTATGACGTATATGTGCTTTATGACTCATAATGGGTGGGCTGGCTGTACATAACTTCCAGACTGTAGAGTATTTTTCTTGCGCAGGGAATATTACATTTTTTCAAACGCGGAAAACATCAGCTTGTCTACATTTGTGCGGACGGATCTGTGGACGGATGATGAAACAAGTACACAGAAAGGTCAGAAAAATTTATGCGTGGATGAAGATTTTAAAAAGAACTAAGCGTGCGTGGAAAGTTACCCAAAAACTACATTTGAGTTGACAGAATTTGGCCAAATAATTTTTGTGCGGGGAACGCATTCCCCTTACAGACCAAACTCTACAGTCTGGCATAACTTAGGCCTAACAACAAAGTCTAGACTGTTGTGTAACATTGCAACACAAAAAATTCAGGTTCCATCATCATAGGGATATGACTGGTTTGTTGGGCTTTTCCAGAGTACAAAGCATGGAAAGCTGCATGCAGGTCTATTCTAGACAAGTTGTTGTATTTATATTACATGAGATTCATGGGTGTGTTTGTTTTTCATGAAGTAATATACATATTTCATTAGCAAGTCAACTCCAACAGAATCATGGTGTTATTAATAATCATGAGGAGTGATTACATAAAAGGGATTTTCCAACATAATCAGAGTATTTAACTAAGATACATTTCAAAAACAATACTGATGGCTATGAAAAAAGAGACAAGGATTAACAGATCAATGAAAGTCAAAATGAAGATGATGTGATGAAGGATATTGGTCAAACAATGTGGTATATACTAATTGGCAACTTTATACACTTGCATTATGAAAAGCTACTTTAATTTATATATCATTCTCACTTTATGTTCTGTAACTTACCTCTGATTTTAAGGTGAATCTATCTGGATGAAACTGAGCTTGTAATAATCTAAAAGTCTTGGATAATTGCTTAGTCTCCATGCCAAATCTTTTCTCTACTTTCATTACATCGAAGTAGTTCAGTTTCTGGTTGGATGGCTGTAAAGACTTGCATGAACTACAGACTGAAGAATATGAAGTAAACTCCTCCTGACAATTCCAACACTTGAGGTGAGATAAAGTACACATAGCTACTACTGGGAGGCAGTGCTTGGCAATCAGCGATGGTATACTGTACCCTTCATAACTTAGTTTTGCTTTTTGTTGGCGTTTATTAGTCAAGCAACTGATCCTCAAACCATGGTAAGCTCGCAAGCCCCATAACCCTTCCAATCTAAGGGGTACAGGTAAAATCCTTTCCAAGCGGCCAAAAGAAAGAGCAACGAGCTTCGCCATGTTGCTCCACCTGCGAGTTCACGGGATGTAAATAAACAATCTATATTTCGGAAAATTGTTTTCCTTCGCCTGGCTTTCTGGGTAATTCTGCTAAGTATTTTAAGTGAAGAAAATAAATCATAATCAATATTTTCATATCTAACAAAAAAGTTACAACAAGTAATCGTAGTCAAGAGAAGTGAAGACAAACGGCATTGAATATAAAGTGATGAAAATATACACCTGTATCT